TTGCCCGGGAGACGGACGCCGTTACCGCCGCCTCGGGCGCGCTCCGCCACGGAGCCGGAGCCGCCTCACGGAGCCACCGCACGGAGCCACCATGATGCCCATCCGAGCGTCCGAGCTGACCCTGCCCGCCGACATGCCCGCCGACGTGCCCTACAGCTTCTACAGCCAGCCCCGCTCCCTGGTCTCCCGCCCCAAGTACCGAGAGCAGTCCAATAACGAGACGTGAGTGCCGGTGTCCGGCGGGCCGCTGCCCCGCTGCCCTCCGCGCTTTTCCCCTGGGCCCAGCTCCCCTCCCGAGGAGCGCAGTCCCCGCCGCCCTGCCTTTCTCCCGGCGGCCGGGGCAAGCCGCGAGCGGCGCTGTCTGTGCTGTGCCGCAGGGAGAAGGGCCCGGGGCGCTACGGCAACATCATGGTCGACCCGAGAGTGGTGCGCGGAAATGTCCTGTCCGTCCGGCCCCCCCCACCGCAGGTATGGGCGTTCTTTAAAGTGCATCATGCTACAGTTGTCTTGGAAAGCCATAGGTAGGGCAGCAAAGCTGTTCCTCATCTACAGTTTTAACTACCAAAGCTGTAATTTTACTTTCAATGTTTCACGTAGTCACAGGCTCTCCAATTAAACCAGCCTGTGACTGTTTCCAGCTCTTCTTTAAAGCACTTAGTTTCATATTAACTTCCACAGTTCTGATTTTTTTATTCCCCATGAAGTGCTTGATGCCTTTGTTTTCCTCGTCCGTTTCTTTACTGTAATGGTCCTGAGCACAATTCATTACTCGATAATCTGTTATCTGTTATCATACGTAAAATGTCATCAGGGAGAATTGCAGCTCCTGGGAAACTGAGTCGTGGGGTAGACTCTGCTTTATTCTACCCCAGAAGCAGAGCTAAATGGTCCAGCTGTATGCAAAAGCTGCTTGTGAGGATGCCAAAGTATTTTGTTTGTATTACTGCTATAGCCTGATACAATAGTAACTCGTAGAATCTTAGAATGGTTTGGGTTGAAAGGGACCCTAAAGATGATCTAGTTCCAACTCCCTGCCGTGGTCAGGGACACCTTCCACTGGTCCAGGTTGCTCCGAGTCCCACCCAAATGTGATACTTTGTTTTCAGAGAATATTTCTACATAGATAATTTGATCATATATTAATTTAAATAAGTCTGTATTTTTAAAAGCTACCATTTGAAAATAACTTTGTGTTGTTCAGTAGCCATTTCTTAGAGTGAATTATATGTGAGTTTTGTTTAAGAAGTTCAAAGCTGATGTTTATCTCAAACCATAAGTAGAATACTGAATTTAAATGCTATTATGAGTTTCTTTTGTTTCATTAGCAATAATTAGTCCTATAATTTTTATCTAGCAAACAATTCTGTTCATAATATGATAACTGGAGTTAAGTCCATTTGACCTCTCAAAAATTGAAAACATATCATTTTAATATACTTTATCTAACAAAGTTCTGTATACAATAATCACTTTCAAATAAGAAATTAATTAATTATTACTCTTAGCATGAGATGCCATTATTATGTGCCTGTAGGCAGCTAGCATAACTTATTCATTTCATGCCATACAGTCTTTAATCCCCTGAAAATTTAGGGCCAGGACCCAGGAAGTAAATCCAAAGCACTAGATAGCTAGCATTAAAATCAAAGAGCAACCTTCATTTTTCTGTAGGGGCAAATGAGTACCATTTTCAAGTACAAAGTGTATTCTGTTTTGTGGGTGTTTTTCTCCTTCATCCCTGCTCAGAGCACCCATGAGATTAAAAGGCAGAGGAGAGCACAGAAGCAAGGACTGGCCAGAAAGCTTACACAAGAGCAAATTCAGCCGGGAACACCAGAGCCTGTGGAGGGCAGAGAACATGTTTATGTGCAGACAGGTAAAAGGCTGTATTTTTTTATATCAGTCTGAAAACAAAAGCTTGCTGATCTATATTCATTTGCTTAATTGGTGATGAAGTTGGTAGAATCACACAGTTTAAAATCATAGACTGCTGGAATCAGAGGTTCTAAACTTGTCTAACTAGTGACATTTTCCCAGAAGGTCTATTTTTCAGTGTACATTCTTGAACACTAGTCAAGACTGCTTCATTTATTCTTTCCATTTTCAGTATAATCAGAGAAATTTCATATATGCTTAAAATTGAAGGTTTTAAAAGTTTTGCTTAAGATGAACTACCATTTTGGGGATCACTTCCATGAAGTGCACCTAACATTACAGAGAACACAGCATCAGGTGGCCTTTCCAGCAAACTGACCTATGTTTTGAGAGGCCTTTTTCCTAACTTTGTAGAAAACATTTTATTGCACTCTTTGGATGTAATTCAGAATGAAAAGTCATCAAAAACAGCTGAAAGCTAAAATAGAAGGAATCCCACTTAGAGTATTCATTGTGCTTTCGTTTCTAGAATTGTATTTGGAAGAGATTAGTGATCGGATAATAGAGGTTGATGGAGAGTGTCAAACAGATGAGTTTTTGGACAGACCAACCACTCCACTCTTCATACCAGCCAAAACAGGAAAAGATGTGGCCACACAAATAGAAGAAGGAGAGGTATGAAGTCAGTCCACAAGTGCTATCAAAATATTTCTCCCTTACAAGACACATTTCTGATGCAAAATTAAATAGAAACAGAAAAAAACTAATCCTCACAGAACATGCAAAAAACCCCCAAATCCAACTCACCGATGTCTGCTTTGAGGTTAAGTGCAAAATTAAGGAAGATGTGTCTCCATGTGCACTGGTTCGGCTGCTTTCAGCTAAGCGATACAGTGTTGAGGAATGCTCTCTTCTGTAAAAACATGTCCAGCCCAAGAAGGGGCAGGGAACACAGAAACAGGGTCTGGGTGAGTGCTCAGATTCTCCCTGGCAGTCCCCACGGGGGCTGTGGGAAGGTGTGTGGTGGCTCAGTCCAGCCCACTCACCACTTAGTCCTCAACAGCACTTAAAAAAAAAACAGATTTTCTCTGCCTTAGCTGACACTGCTCCTTCACCTGCACCTCTCCAGCCTGACTTCCATACAAGGGCTTTGTACATCCTCCTTTTCTCCTTCCCAGTCCTTGTTAAGAGTAATTGTTATCAAGGGACATTTATCTGTTTCTGACTCTCATCCTCAGCTGTTTGACTTTGACATTGAAGTTAAGCCGATCCTGGAAGTGTTGGTTGGGAAAACAGTTGAGCAGGCTTTGCTGGAAGTCATGGAGGAAGAAGAGCTGGCCCAGCTGTGGTCACATCAGCGTGCCTTTGCAGAGCTGCGTAATGCAGAGTTTGCTGAATTGCAGCGCTTGGAAGAGCAGGACAGGCGGATCAGGGAGGAGAAGGTAGGACTTCCTAAGGGCAAAGTCTGTCTGAATGTTGTCAGAAGGGAGAAAAATATTTCCAGTACTGAATGACAGGCTGTGATATAAGCATATAGGTATGCCCAAAAGGGTACTGTCAGCTTTGATATACCTTAAAGCATTTTGATAACATACAGCTGCACTCTGCCACTTGCTCTCATACAACAGCACCACACTGTTTTGTTTATTTGGACCATGATTACTTGGTGTAGTTGGACACCTGGACAAAAGGCCAAACCCAACAGCATTTTCTTCTGTACTTGGTACAGCTGTTTCTGTTAGCTTTTGTTATAACAAGTGCTAAACAAATAGTCAGAGTGCTTGGAAGTAAGAGAGATACTTGGTCTTTCACACACAATGCATGCTTTACTCTGTGTGCACACAAACATCTGAAGATTGCAAAGTATTATGCTATATTTATATTATTTAGTAATATTTAGTCAATAGGAATAAACAGAAAAGGCAAGTCTTAATTAATTACTACTTACTAGTCTTCAGCCACTATATTATACAATTGTATAATTGTATTTTCTAATGTTTTCCTGAACAAATTTGAGTTTTAATTTTTTTGTACATGCAATAGGATATAATATTAGAAGATAAAACGTTTAGGAAATACTAATCCAAATTCATCACATTCCAAGCCAAATAACCAGCTTGATCTGTGATAATAAAGGAAAGAGTTGTGAGATTAATGTATGCAAAGGCATCAGAGAAGGGTTTAATTTGGCCAGCTGTGATGCTCTTATTTTACAGACTTGCCAAAATCAGAAAAGGAATACTATACAAATGTGTTTTCCTGAAATTTGGGGTATTTTAATACTCCAGAGATTAAGTACAAATTTGCTTACAAGCAGTCTTCCACGTGAGGAATTTCAGTGGGAGTTAGAGGCTGCAAATACCAGGTAGAGATAATAATTATCTGTAGTTTTTACTATCTTTGCTATTTATGGGACACAGACTATGATAATTCTTCAAAGTCTAGATCAAAGGAGTCACAGCTGAAGGCCTCTAAGTTTACACGCATAATTGCCTTGACAGGAACGTCGCAGACTGGAGCACCTGGAAAAGCTGCGGAAACAGAAAGAGACTGCAGAGAAAATTGCAGCTCGGGCATTTGCTCAGCGTTACCTGGCTGATCTCATTCCCTCAGTCTTCAACAATCTTCATGACAGTGGATTTTTTTATGACCCTATAGAAAGAGGTTTGTTTTGTTTTTTCTTTTTAAATATGTAAAAAGAGTGAAGTAATACAAAGCTCAAAACAACCATGAAACATAACATTATCCTATTATTTAGAATAATGTTGTAAGACTTTATTCATTTGCATTTGTGGCTGAACACAAAAAAACATTATTGGTCATCTGTACAAGTAGTGAAGAATAAGCAAGAGCTGACAGTGTGACAATGAGGAGAGCTACTTTGGAACTGAAGAGAAATAAATGGGTGGCTAGGGATTGGGAGAGAGAAAGATCCAAATTGAAGTACATGTGTTTTTATAGAACAAAGAAATCAGTATGTCATTCTGAATATTTTTGAACGATGATCAGAGCAAGGGACAAATTAGTCAATTAGAATTAGGCCCTGAAAATAATTTTGGAATTATATATCAGTGACTTCCAAGCCCTTAGAGTCAGCAGTCATTTCTTATGAGCTACCTTGCTGCACCCCACTTCACCAGTCTCCACACGGGCACAGACCACAGCTTGGGAACGGTTACACTCTCTCCAGGGTAAGTCATGGGGTCAATGCAGAAACTGAGTGTGTTTTGCAACCAGGGAAGGCTTTGGGATCACAGTGTACAAAAAGTATCATTTGAGAAATACATAGGCAAGCAAGAGCTTCTTAGTCAGACAGAACAAATGCTTTCAGCAGACCAGAAGCCAAATGTCTTTGGAAAGCAAGGCAGGAAATGTTATTCTCCTGACTTGTTCAGGATAGTTATTTGGATCTTGCTAGAACATGACTGTGTATCTCATCTGTGCTAAGCCTTTCAAGGGTGCCAGACCTCTTTGAAATTAACTGCAGTTGAGAGGACTCTGCTCTGAATCTATAATGATCATGAACCTCAGTAAAAGAGGATGGAGATAAGAAACCAAACAACAGCGGAGAGATTTCATCTGACTTTACAGAGAAAGTGCCTTTTGGCAGGGGGAGTTCATCCCTTAATTGTTGTAGCAAATAAAAACAGCCACCAAGTCCTGCTGGTCATCCTTTATAAAGTGACATTTTCCCTTTGTTTCTTCCTGCTAAATTCTTACAGATATAGAGACAGAATTCCTTCCATGGCTGATGTCAGAAGTGGAAGAAACACTACAGAAGAAGGTTCTGGGAAGGACGATGCTTGACTGTAAGTTACCAAATCCTGGAATGTAATCTGCCTGGTATTCTTGGTTGTTTTTTTCCTGGTCAGAACAAATGTCACATTTATATGGTTATCATTGGTTAAGGTAGGAAGTGTCATTTTAGGAAAATCTCCAAGTACCCATGGCTTTTTGTGTTGGGGGTTTTGTTTGTTTGTGTTTGTTAGTTGGTTTGGTTTGGTTTTTTACTATATTAACGTGTTTAATTTTGGAAAACTACTAGTACATACCACTGGGTAACTGATTTTCAGCTGAAACAATAGAAGTGTCAGTCATGCTGCACTATCCACTCTCTTCTGACTTTATACTATTTGAGGTTTGTTAACACTGGGAAATACTACACATATGTCAGGAACAGAATGGTTAAAGAACACAATTATTTTTTTCTGCTATAAAGCTTCTACTTCCTCTGTGTTACATAGCCACCACTGCTGTAGTGTTCTCTGTAGTGCACCTGATTGTGCCAGTGGGAACAGAAAAGCCCATCTTGTGTACTGCCATGTGTATATCATGAAAGTGTCTTAATTTGCTTGTGTAATCTTCCAGAGCTATGGGTTATTCTCCTACACAAAAAGAGGATGATGGCAAGCCATGGTTGACTGGGAAGGGAGGTGACCGATTTTTTCATCAAAACAAGGGCTTGTCTCCTTGTTAGTCAATAATCATGTCCTTGTGTTTGAAATAGGTAGAAATATTGGTCTTCTTTGGGCTAGTTCAAGCTAAATGTTTGTGCTCTTTTATTTGTTCAGAGGCTGTATTTGAAACACCTGAAAAAGTCTGTCTTGTGTAGAAACACAAAAGCATGGTGTATGTGTGCCCAGCAGTGTGCTCCTAGATCAAACCACTTGTTACACTTGCATTACATCTTCATTCCTGTAGTTTTCCTCTTGCTGAGATTTTGGGTTTGTATTACAATTGTGTTTGCTTCCTTTGGTTTATTTTTAGTTTGATCAGGACCCTGAATTTTATTTGTGAAGGTATAATATGATTTGAACAATTACAGCTGGTGTGTTAGGTATTTTATGTCGATACATGTACCAGTATGTACACTCGAAGTTCACTTCTTCATGTAGCTCTTCAGAAGGAAGGGAAAATTCTCTTCTTTTAAGAAAAAAATATTGTATGTGACTACTGAATAAACATTCTAAAGAGAATGGTGCTTCAGGATACAATATTGATGAGAATATCTATCATATTCTTGTTAATTCTGTTTAAATTTTTAACCAGGTACCATTGTCTTGTTCCAGTCCTTAAGTATTTCTTCATTTTTAGAGTTATTTCAGGGTTCTTACCCTATCTAAGGATTTATAGGTCAGTAATATAGATAAAAAAGTAATAATCTCAAATTATAGAGTTTTTCCTCTGTGGTTGTAAGTGGTGGCTATTTCTGTTTCAGCCTTGATTCGTATGGTGGTGGAAAAACGCTTAGATGAGTTTAGCCGGCCACCCCCACCTGCTCCGACAGAGGCACCTGCTGAAGAGCCCAGTGCAACAGATGCAGCTCCCCAGGTGTCTGGTGAGGCAGATGCTGATGACCAACCAGCTGAAGAGGAAGAAGAGACTGACCAGCCTGTTGCTGAGGAATAGCCTTCAGATTCCACCTTTCTCAGTTAGAAGAATAAAGTCAAGAAGGAACAGTGGATTTGGAAACTGAGTAACAAACAGGCAAGTCATCAAGTAAATGGAGACCAGTGGCTTAGAAATAAGGAATTAATTCATAGCTATTTACAGGTATTGTGCCCTAGCCACGCTGAAGGATGAACCTAAGCAACAGTAAAGCATTAAAACAATCCATCAAAACCTGGGAGGTTTATGGTTGAAAAGTAATGCTGTCCCACACCAAGGTCATGAGAAGGATGTTAAGAGCATCATAATAACCTTTGCAAGGGTTTTGATAATGTTCTTGGAACAATATTTCCTTACTTTCCTTATTTTGAAAGGTAGTTACTACAGTACTTAAATAAATTTATTTTGACTCATGTTAGTCTTTCCTTTCCTCACAAACTTGAATGGATGTCTCAGCAAGTAATAGAGCCAAACAGCTGTTCCTGAGGCTTGTCAGTTTCAAAGAGTTACATGCCCCTGGGAATTTCTGCCTATGCAAAATCCCCCTCAGCATCCTCTTTTGGAGCCCCTCCTGGAGGTCAGGGACTGGAGCTACACGCTAAGAAGTCTCGGTTTTCTTTGTAATCGTCCTTTCCTGCCGGTTTACTGGAAACAGTACCAGACATGACTGACAAAATGTGCCTTCCCTGCCGTGTGTAGTTAGTTGTCCGTTCACGGGCCACTTCCTCAGGTGGGGCAGGCCCCCGCACAAAGGCACATCTGTGCTACATGGCAACAGCACCGTGTCCTTGCTGGGTCAGTGTTCCCAGCAGCAGCTGTCCCCGGCAGCAGGTAGGGCCGCAGGGTGCCCAGCTCTGCACGCACGGGGGCTGTACGGGGGTCTGCAGCTCCTGGGTGTGTGCGGGCAGGGCGGAGCTGCGCGGAGGTGCCGGAGGGAGCGGGCGCTGCAGGCACTAGAGGGCAGGTTATCCCGCGGCAATCCGGCTGGAGAAACGCGGGGAAGGACGCTGCTGGTGTCACCTTTTGCACATTGCACACCCTGCACTAGTGACGCCCGTCTGAACCCCCCTTCTCTACTGAACACCAATGGTGTCGAACTTTTTGCAAAATTTACTCATTTATAGCATGAGGAGCCAACATTTGATTCACCCAGTGCAGTCCACTCTGGCTCATAGAATGACAGAGTAGATTGAGTCGGAAGGGGCCTTCTAGATCATCTAATCCAATCCCACGCCTGCCATGAGCATGGACATCTTTTACAGGTCAGGTTGCTCAAAGTCCCATCCAGCTTGGATGTTGGTAACGGAGAAGGTGGAATCATCTCCTCAGGGTTCACCCGTGACAGCCCAAGAAACAGCCACTGGTGGCTTCAGGGGATGCGCAGGCACTGCTGGGCTGCGACTCTGCAGCTGAACCCCAGGTGAAGGAAGCGAAACCGGGACGTGTGCGCGGAACATTCTAAATGCTGCGAGGTGCCCTCCTGGGAAGCTGTTAACCACCAGCGGCGCAGGTCAAGAGGTTCTGTGGATCCTCACAGGCAAGGACAACTCGGCGGCCACGGC